ACAATCCAAACCTATGCATCATCATTGACTTTGAGGTTAAATGATAGCGTCTACCCTAGAGCATTATTGTGGGTGATGGATTGGACACAATATGAGTGATATCACATGCATTTTGAGAGTGTTGGATACCAATCCAACAACCCTACGCACATCACCATTCCCTTTTGGCTCTCACATGTGAGCAATTTGGCAAAAATCACTGGATTTTCCCAAGTTTACAAAGAGGACAGCGATCATAGGATTTCGGGGAAGCATAAATTTAAGTTTCTAAAGGACCTAGGGCTTGGGGGCGTTAACCACACAACAATTGGCCTTGGGGGACCCTAGGTTTCACTAAGTTTTAGTGTTTTACCTCACCCGGGTTGTCCTAGCACTCCAATCTAAGCTCCAAACGCTGTCCAAGTTCCTTTGAAAACTCCAAACTGCTGTCCAAGCTCCTTTGAAAGCTCCAAACGTCCTTTGAAGGCTCCAAGTTGCTGTCCCAGGTTCTTTGAGGGCTCCAAGTCGCTGTCCAAGACTTTCCCAAGTAGGAAGACTGCTGTCCCAACGTTCCAAACAGAAAATTTCACTGTTTGAGAGCTTCCGGAGGTCGTCATTTGCTGTCCAAATGCTCCAAACAGCAGTTTTTACTGTTTGGAAGCCTTTGGAGGCTGCGTGGTTGCTGTCCAAATGTTCCAAACAGCGGTTTGCAGTGTTTGGAGGTCACCGGAGATGGTTTGGAAGGAAGGAGAAGCCTTCCACCTCTTTTTGGCTGCAACAAGAGGTGATTACTGCAACTCTTTTCTCTGTAATTTGGAGGACAGAGGACCAACAGCAGCAAAGGGAAGTTTATACTTCTCAGTTGAAGGGAGGAAATGGTGGCAGCGAGAGGAACATTCTTTCAGCCCAAAGAAAGGAGATGGCAGCAGTTAGAGAAGACAAGATCTATGCTTCACTTAGCTTCATCTCCAAAAAATATTATGCAAGAACCAAGAGGTTTGGCCGGCCCTTCCCCTTGTCTGGGTTGCACGCAAGAAAGAGGCTTTGCTCCGCCTCCCTCTCCTCAGCTTGGGCTGGGACGGACGCAGAAACAGAGAGCCGAAAGGCTCTCTCCCGTGCTCTCCCTCTCACACTCTTACTCCTCTCTCGCTCGGGGTGGACGAACCAGGGGAGCCGAATGAGCTCCCCCTCTCCCTTGCGTGCTCTTGGAGAGCACGAGCAGCAGCAAAAAGCCACCACCCAAATGGAGCAATCCCATACCTCTCACGCGTGAAACCAGGGATTTAGGGCAGAATTCAACAAGAAATCTGAGCCGTTGATTTCAATTTAAGATTTAGGTATTTGATTTAGCACAATCCAAACAATTGGGGCTGAAATTGAGCCCAAATTGGACTCGACTCAAACTGATTTGGGTCGGTTTGGGTCCGAGTGGGGTCCGATCAAGTTCATTTTGTGAAATTAAGCTTGAATCGGCGACGAATTGTGTCGAATTGTGCTCGACGACACTCGACGGGGTTCGATTGGTTTTGATTTGATTTTAATTAAATTAAATTGGGTTTAATTTAATTAAATTGAGGCTTAATTCAGATTAATTTTGCCTCGACGATGATCGATTTAGTTGATCGAGTGCGATCGAGCTTTGTCGGGCTCGATCGGGGTCGAGTCAATGCGAAAATATTCGTCAACACTAATACTTTAGGTCGAGCTTGTGGATTGATGGATGTCCATCCACTAGTATATAGGAGTCAATTTAGGTATCTATTTATCCACCCTCTTAACACTTACTACAACTGTCAACACTGCTTAGTGCTTAAATTTAAGGGTACCTCTTTTTCTAGGTTTTTTTGTACGGTGTTGATTCTGCAGATTAAAATCTCGATAATAATGCTTAAACAATACAAAAATTGGAAAATGATTGTAGATTTTCTTTACAACTTTGAGTGGATCCTGTTTTATCTAATATTTCAGCTTTGAATGGATCCTGTTTTATCTAATATTTCTTAGATGTTCTTTCTTCCTTTTTATCTCTAAGAATGCAGGACCTTTCTACGAATGGGTTGGAGCTGGATTAACAAGTGTCAAGATTGCAGGGTTAGATAATGGAACCATAGATTTGTCTTCAAATACATGGAAGTATAAGGTAACTTGAGGAATCACATCCCTTTTTACTCTGGTTCAATTTTATTTTGAGTTCTAGCATGCTTGAACTCTTTGAGGTGTGCTACTAAGAATTTTGGTGTAGCTTCGAGAAGAAAAGATGCTTGTTTATTTATTGTTATGTTTTTCTTAATAAAAATTTTGCTGTAATACTTGTATACAATCTATAATATTTTCATAATTTTTTTAATTTGTAGGTAAAATTTAAAATACCGTTGGAATGGTGTCTTTTTATCTAACTTTTCTTTTTGGCTCTTTATTTTGTGTTCTGTATTGAAAGAGTCAAAATATTTATTATTTAGAAATTGCCACAGAAATCCCATAATTTACAACAAAACTATGATCTTTAATTCTCAACGTTTAAGCAAATTCTCAATGAATTGATTACAACCCGTGCAAGTATATATATTTACATGTTAATTTTTTGACTTGTGTGGTTTTTATTTAGTTTTATTTATTTATTTTTAAGTGTTCTCAATTTCGGTGTTATGCATGTAGTGCTACTTTATTTCGATCACAGGCTTGTGGTATTTGGCGTGAAAGTTTTTGTTATTTGTTGGAAGGTTTGGATGTTTCTTTTTTCTCATGCCGAACTACTTTCTTTCATGGCTTTTTGGTAATTTACCCTAAGGAATTGGACTGACTTTTTTTTATCATTTCTCATTGATATTTATAGATCAATATCTGTTTGAACACCAATCAAATTTGCAAGCAAGGAGAAAATATTCTTAGGGCTCTAATCTGAAGTAGATTAAACATTTTGTTTTTTCCTTGTTATAATAGTGTGGAAATCATGTACCCCTCTTCTATGATGCACCGATATTTCTCCTCAAAGAGGCATATAGTGTCTGACACGATTTGATATGACACGCATCCGACACACCTTTAGCACGTGTTGGACATGCCGAAATGTGTCCGATTAAAAAAATATTAAATACAAATTGGACATAAGTGTCCGACACTAGTGTCTTAAATATTTTATGAATTTTTTTAAAAAATAATTTGTTTTATTTAAAACTTTAATTTATTAAAAATATAAAAAAAACTAAACTTCTTATTTCCTATCCATAAGACTAAATCAATTGCTCGCACTCAATGCTCTATTCATTGAATATTCTCATTTTAATTTCTAATTGGTGAGTCACGACTTTGGTTTCACAACAATGCTTGATGTCATCTCAACATTGACGTCTAACATCATTACAATATTGACATTTCAAAACCACCTCAACATCAAAGTTTGACATTAAATCTTGCTATCATAGGGATCATTTGAATATTTTTGGATTTGTGTAATAATATATCCTGACAAAGCTATCTGCATCACTCTTTATTCATTGCGAACATTAGATGAAATTTACTAAAGCATGTATGATAATTATTGAATTTGAAAATGCTAGACTGGTTGAGCAATCGACAAAAATATCTAAGAATCATATCACAAGCATCAATGATGAGACCCCACATGAAGAAGGGTATGATTATCCTCTAATGAATAAAGGTTTCGTATCTCAAAGAGAGCAATATAAAACATTAATTTATTTGAGATTTAACCAAATCAAACCAAGTTGAAATCAACTTGATGGTCCTACATGAATCAAACTCTCAATCGATAACACTAATAGGCATTGAAAAACTAATAGTCAAAGATAATTCATATAAATTACTCCATTACCCATTCAGATAATTATTTTATGAAGATTGCATTATAATTATACCGCATTAATTAATTTTTCCTCCATATTGATTGTTTAATTTTGAAATCGTTACATGTACTTCACAGTCATCTCTTTCTATCTCCCATCTTGCTTCTTGTTCTAAGTATTTCTTCCAAACACCCTAACTAATGGATTAGATCAATGATGAAGTTGTAGAACCTTATGTTTCAAAATATTCTCTACAACTCAGATTTGCTTGAATGAACAAAAGCACGAACCAAATTTTATAAGAATCATGATGTATGTAGGTGCATACGAAACAGATGAAAAAAAATATTATGTTTTCTTGCGAGCCTCAATGGAAGAGCCAATCTATCATGACCTGGCCTTGGAGCTTTGAGTAAAAAGATAGGAATAGATTGTCGGAGGGTTTTTTTAAAATTAAAAATTCTATGTTCAAAATCAATATTAAACAAAATTTTTATAAACATTAATCTAATATAGTGGATTAATACACCAAAAGAAACACTATCACATAAAGTTCATTTTAAATAAAAGTACAACAAATCTACTATTCTTTGTCAACCATCCGTATAACATAGGTATCATTCTTTTATCGCACAACATCTATAATACATAGATTCTCTTCTCTTTGTCATTTAATTCTCAAAATGTTTTATTGAAATTATTAATCAAATATAATGACGAGTTATTAACATAACTTGGTAAATCATAGTTCTAAATAATAGCAATTCAAATTAAAAAAACAATATGCGCATGGTAGTTATCATTTTAAACTGCAATGAAATTATAAAATGTGTTTGTTGTTTGAATATCAGCTATTATCTTAAACATTTCTATATTGCTTGATTATTAAAATGATATATAATGACATAAACATAATATTCATCTTCCCTATAAAACTTTATCATATATTCACTTACACTTTGCCATGTACTAATATATCCATCTCGGGAGCACTGTCTATATGTAAACCTAACTTACTCTTAGTCGATACATCCTTTGTCAGCATATTTCGGTGTAGATCAAGGCCACTATTATTTTATTAACCATAATTTTATTAACCAATTTTTATTATTAATGCTTTTAATAAAAATAAATAAAATTTTAGATTATTACCGAATCAACAAAAAACTGTCAATTTTTTCAATCATTTTAAAAGGACCAATAAAAGGAGGTTGAAGTTTTTCACTCTTGCTAAATTTAGTAATTCTACATATTGGTAAAACCTTTCGAAAATATGATTTCAAATCTCAAACTCGATTCCTCTATTTTTTATAATCAAAATTTCTTTGTCAAATCTTCTTAAGTGAATGAAGTCATTCTCAAATAAGATGAATTTTCTTGATATCCTAATCAACTTGTTGAGGCCTTAAGAGTTTTAATCGCCATCCTCAAACCAATACAAATGAGATTTACATTTCCTATCATATATAGCCTAATATGGAATCTTGTTGATCCTAGCTTAAAAATTATTATTGTTGTCAAATTCGACAAGTAGAATCTAATCCTCTTAGCTACCACCGAAGTAAAAAATACAACTATTGATAAATCTTCTAAATTATGTTATTAACTATTTGTCTAATGATGAAACACAATGCTAGGTCTAATTTAGTACCCAAAGTATTTTACATTGTCTTTTATTGAAGTAAATCTTTCATATCGATTGAAAATGGAAATGATTATATCCCATGTAATTGAATAATATTATCCATGTAAATTCTTGCTAACTTCTCCATAGAATATTGTTTTGCTTGATTGATTAAAAATGAAAGGTCTTTATAAGTTTGTTAGCCACTAATTATTTGATAACCTTGTTTATATTTGGGGTACTGTCATGATTAAGTCATTAATAAGAGTACTCAGTTTAGATATCTTGGGTCTATTGTTTAGAGTGATGGTGAAATAGATGGGAATATTATTAGTGGAATTCATGTTGGATGGTTGAATTGGAGGAGTTCATTGGGCTTGTTGTTTGATAGAAAAGTCCCCCTCAAACTTAAGGGTAAATTCTATATGATGGTGGTTAAACCTGAAATGCTTTAAGGTGCAGAATGTTGGCCATTAAAGGAGATGCCTAATATTAAGTTAAGTGTTGAAGAGATGAGGATGCTCAGGTATGAATAGCTTTAGTCTTAGAGACATAATGCAAAATGAGCATATACATGAAAAAGGTTGGAGTAACCTCAGTGGAAGATAAGATTAGAGAGTTTCTACGTAGATTGTTTGGTCATATAAATCGACGGCCTTCTGATGACCCGGTTAGGTAAGTAAATGTATTAGATTTGACTTATGTTAAGAAAGGTAGAGGTAGACCCAAAAAGACTTGGTTAGAAAATATTAGAAATGACATTTCTTTATTAGATTTAAATGAGAATTTAACTTTTAATAGGACATAATGGAGAAAAGGGATTCATGTAGCCGACCCCACATAGTTGGATAAAGGCTTGTTGTTGTTGTTGTTGTTTAGATTTAGGTAAGCCAATTATTAAAGCCATTACAATCTTGTTCTACTTCCATTTTGAAATAGGAAAAAGGTTGTAATAACTCATGAGCTATTTGATGCTCAGGCTAAACCATCTAACAAGTTAAGTTCTTAACTAAAAAAAATTTGTAATATCATTGTTTATGCCGAACCACCAATAAAGCTTGTTGAGATTTTGATTCGTTTTAGTACTCCGTGGATAAATAAAATATGGAGCGGCATGAATTTTTTTGAGAATCTTCTTTTGAAGTCCTAATTATTTGGAATACATAGTCAACCATTAAATTTCGACATACATATTTGATTAATAATGAACTCAAGTTTCAATCCATTTTGGACTTGCTCTCTAATCTTCATCAATTCAACATCATACATTTGAGCAGCATGAATCTTATGTACCATTATTGGTTGACTAGTCATGACATTTATGATGGAATTATCACAAAGTGTAAGAACCGGTTTAATTGGTCGGCTCAATTGAACGGGCCAGCCCTAATAATTAAAATGCGAATAAATAGAGGCGGAATTGAGCAGAGACAGGCGCGACTGGAGCGGGCCAATCAAGATCGCAGGCAAGTATAAGCGGCTCGATTCGCAGTTTTGAGTGAAGGATCATGTATGAAGATGGAAGTAAATGACTCCTTTTAAGTATAACTTCCTCGTCTTCATTCCTTATCGCTATATAAACAAAAAATTGGAAAACAACTATTGTGAGAGGCGGCTGAGAGGAAAGTGAGCGAAGGTTTTTAAAATTTCTATTTTTATGTGTAAATCTTTCCATATTTCTTCATCTAAACAATGAGGGATATTTTAAATGAA